CCTCACCTTGGCAAGCACAAGCTTTAAAAAAAAAAAAACAGATGAACTCCCAGAAAGACCACCAACCAAGAATTGTTATCACTTTAGTCGATGATAACAAGGCACTTAAAACATCTACTTTAACACAGCACAGCTGGTTGTAAATTAGATCAAGAGGTTGTCAATGTTAAAAGAGCCGGCTTGCATTAGTGTGAGAAGGGCGGTGGGGGTGGGGGGTTTCAGAGGAGCAGTATGGCCTGTACTTCCCTGGTAAACAAACACTGTAAATGGTTAGATTGAGCCCCCTCTAATCCATCTGGTCACGATTACAGTGGTCATGCAATACTACTGAGCAAAGAGTAAACAGAGCAAGGGAAAGTGATGTAATCACACCATTCTACGGTTCCTGTAGCGGGTGAACTACTTATTTTGTAAGGTGCTATATTTTGAGCAGGTGTTGCTGGTAGTTCTCGTGCATTTTCAAACCTGTATGAAACGGTCTTCTGTAGAAAACATACTAATCTAAAAATAAACCTTTTTTTTCCACTTCATACACCACAGTGACAAAACAAAAAGCAGATTTGTGATAATTGCACATTTAAAAAAATAAAATAAAATAATTACATTCCATAAGTATTCATACTCTTTTCTGTGACCCTTAAAATTTAGCTTAGAAGTATTCCAGTTTTACTGGATCAACTTTGAAATTTTTCTACACTTTGAGTGGGGTTAACCTGAGACAAATTCAACTGATTTTACATAATTTGGAAAGGCACACACCCGTCTATATAAAGTATAGCCCTAACCACTGAAAATGCATTATCAGTCGGCACCAAAAGCCTTGTGGGCAGCACTCCAACATACAGTATAGTGCAGTTGTGCTTTGGGCTTCCCGAATTCGAGTCCTGACTTGCAGACTTTTCCTGCCCCCCTCCCCTCTTCAATGTCAATGTTACAACAGATCTGTTTTTTTACTTTGTCATTATGGTGTGTATTAAGATTGATGTGGGAAAAGGTCATTTAAAGCAGTTTAACATAAGGCTACAGCAAGACAAAATGAAAAAAATTCACTGTATACCTAGTGCAATTAGTGGCAGACAATATTTGCATCTCAGTGTATTGCAGACATACAATCACATAAAAGACTGAATATTATTAAAATCATAAATGGATGTGTTATTGGGACCTTTTTCCTACTATTAAATGCCCGTTAGGCAATTCTTTCACATTTATTTATTTATTGTTTTTAAATAAAAGATTCTCTGAGCTGATATGCATTGTGCAAAAGAAGAATGGGATCTGAAAAATACAGATATTAATATGGGTCAGTCGTGTCAAAGGCTAAATCCATAGTCCTTAGTCTCCACGCCACTGCCCCAGCTACCTTGGGTTGGTTTCTTATTTTGTGGTTTATCTAAGCTTGGTTTCCTTTGAGTTAGTGCAAATAGCCTTTACCAACAAGACAAGCAGACAGACAGATTTGTACTGAGTGGAAACAGGCCATCTGGTCATTTTAATCATCTTTTCCTCACACAGAATGATCAAATGGCTTCAGAAGACTTGGATAACAGAAAATAAGACATACTTGGACTACTTTTATGGTGGTTTTTGTCATTGTTGCAGCTTGACAATCCTTGGTCACCATCCACTTTGATTGTATGGCACAGCATTAACATCTTTCCTAACCTCATCTTTTGTTGTCTTCGGAAGAAAGTAAATCACCCATCTGAAAAGCAACCCTTGATCCAACTCTGTTCACACCACTGTGCTAACACCCCCATAGCTCCATAACCTCTCAACTCACCTGTACATTACATCTTGCAACCTGTACGAGCCACTTTAGTTCCCGGGTGTGACCTGTAGCTGCAGCATCATGGACAGGTGTTGCTCCATTAAGGGCCCTCGTTTCAGCAGCCAGCCCTGCTTCCGTCACCAGAAAGCAAAGGCAGTCCAGCTGACCACAGCGTGCAGCATGGTGCACCAGTCCCGCACCCTGAGCATCCACAGTGGCGCCTGTAAGACATCCAGTTTCGGCAAGCTCCCTGAGGCTCTGTAGGTCACCATCCCGGGCTGCAGCAATGGCCTTTTGGAGCACCATGTTAACCCTGCCTCTCTGCACCTGCAGAAGCTGCCTTTGACTGGATCCGGACACTGTCTCGGGCAATTCAACCTACCCCCCACACCACACATGCACACACACAGGGGAAGCCGACACCTAACCGTCTGCCAGCTGGCGGGATTGTGTGAGCGGAGGAGAGGAGAAGGTCTGGCCCGGTGAGCTGTAAAGGTAATGAAAGACGTCACAATGCACCAGTGCTCATCGTGGCCCAGCCGTTGCCTTTGTGATCGCTTACCAACCTGCACATGGTTGCCCTCGTCTCTGGCAGCAGACACCAGAGTAATGAGAGAACTGGCCTCTGAAGACCTACTAAAACTGGTGTGCATGCATGTGGCATGTATTTAGAGATTACAGTGAGCCTCGTTTTCACATGTTAAATATTAATTTCTGTCTGAATAGCCAAGAGTGTCTCTGGAAAGAGGTCAAGGGATTAGAATGGAGCAGTTTGGTTAAAGCATTTAAACTTTAATGATTCAGCATCAGGGGAGATCAGATCAGCACTGTGATGTTAAAGAGAGTCCATTTAGCTCATTTAATAATGCTGTTGCAGCTTTGTTGTACTGGTAACAGATATCTCGGTCTCACGTGCACGCTCCATCACATCCCAAGTGCAGCCGCCAAGTTAAAATGAACAGGACTCTATTGTTCCCTGAAAAATAGGGTAAAATATCTACAACATAATTAGAACAATTGACATCATTCAGTTATGAAACCGTTTTAAAAAAAATACAAAAGATCACAGTGTATTTAATATCAAATCAGGAGGGGCAAACTGACCCCTAAATACCAAAACCAATTAACTAAAACTCCCTGTTAAAAAGAACTCTGACCTGAAACGACCATGAACAAAGCCAACAGTAATATGCAAGTAGGGGTGTGCAATATCCAGAAAAATTGATATTTAATGTAATTTTGCTGGTAACAATATTTCGCAGTGCATTTTTTTTTCTGTCGTGGAAAAATTACTTTCATATTCTTTGTATTTTGTGCAGCGGTTGGTTAGTTTCCCACAGTGACAGAAATAAATGATTCAATCACTTTTTGCAAAGTAAGTGATACTCTATAATGTCAGCTTACACGTTGTTAAAAAACAATTATGATATTACTGTAGACTGTACATATCACACACCCCCATATGCAAGCCACTTATTTTTTAACTATTTATCAGCTAAATTCCCTGAAGTTCCATATATGAAATATGCTTTAACAAATAAGTTACGTTAAATATATTCTGCTAAATAACAAGCTCAATGTAGTGCTACCAGACAATGATCCTGAAGCCTGAACTCTATACTCATGAAACACCATCTAATCTTTTTGCAAAGCAAATAAAATTTACATTAAATATTATATTCTGCTAAATAAAGAGCTCTTAGATCAATGTAGTGCAACCTGACAATGACCCTGAAACCTGAACTCTATGCTCATGACACACCATCTAATCTATGTGCAAAGCCCCATAGCTGTAAACTAAAACCATTCAATAAATGTGTCCTTTTTGGTATGTATTTACAGTGGTGTGAAAAGGTTTTTGCCCCCTTCCTGTTTTTTTAAATTTTTTGCATATTTGTCACACTTAAAAGATTCAGATCATCAAACTAATTTTTATATTACACAAAGATAATGCAAGTAAATACAAAATGCAGTTTTTAAATGATGTTTTCATTTATTAAGGGAAAAAAAGCTGTCCAAACCTACCTGGCCCTACGTGAAAAATTAATTGCCCCCTCCTGTTAAATCATGAAAGAACTGCAATGTCAGAGCTATTATCCACAAATTGAGAAAACTTGGAACAATGGTGAACCTTCCCAGGAGTTGCCGGCCAACCAAAATTACTCTAAGAGTGCAGTGATGACTCATCCAGGAGGTCATAAAAGAACCCAGAACAACATCTAAAGAACTGCTGGCCTCACTTTCCTCAATTAAGGTAAGTGTTCATGATTCAACAATAAGAAAGAGACTGGGCAAAAACGCCATCCATGGGAGAGTTCCAAGGCAAAAGCCACTGCTGACCAAAAAGAACACAAAGGCTCGTCTCTCATTTGCCAAAAAATATCTTGATTATCCCCAAGACTTTTGGGCAAATATTCTGTGGACTGATGAGACAAAAGTTGAACTTTTTGGAAGGTGTGTGTCCCGTTACATCTGGCGTAAAACCAACACAGCATTTCATAAAAAGAACATCATATCAAGAGTCAAATATGGTGGTGGTAGTGTGATGATCTGGGGCTGCTTTAAAGCTTCAGGACCTGGACAACTTGCCATAACTGATGCAACTATGGATTCTGCACTCTATCAGAAAATCCTGAAGGAGAATGTCCGGCCATCAGTTTGTGACCTCAAGCTCAAGCGCACTTGGGTTCTGCAGCAGGACAATGATCCCAAACACACCAGCAAGTCCACCTCTGAATGGTTCAAGAAAAACTAAATTAAGGTTTTGGAGTGGCCAAGTCTAAGTCCGGACTTAAATCCGATTGAGATGCTTAAACAGTCCATTCATGCTCGAAAACCCTCCAATGTGGCTGAATTAAAACAATTCTGCAAAGAAGAGTGAGACAAAATTCCTCCACAGCGATGTGAAAGACTCATTGCCAGTTATCGCAAACACTTGATTGCAGTTGTTGCTGCAAAGCGTGGCACAACCAGTTATTAGATTTAGGGGGCAATTACTTTTTCACGTATGGTCAGGTAGGTTTGGACAGCTTTTTTCCCTTAATAAAAGAAATCAATTTTTAAAAACTGCATTTTGCAGTTACTTGCATTATCTTTGTGTAATATTAAAATGTGTTTGATGATCTGAATCTTTTAAGTGTGACAAATGCAAAAAATTACAAAAAAAGGAAGGGGGCAGAAATCTTTTCACACCACTGTATGTATGTATGCATGTGTGTGTGTGTATATATATATATATACAAACATAAGCAGGTACAATATCCATGGTGCTAGTTCATCCGCTCCAGTTGCTCTACGGTGTCTCTCAGATCCTCCACGACAATGTCCACATCTTCACGGGAGGTACTTCTACCCACACTGATCCTCAAAGCGTTGGTAGCCACATGATATGGAATCCCACAGTTTAGAAGAATATGGGAAGGTCTAAGGAAATGAAAGCACATAACAAAATTGCAGCAAAAAGCATTAAGGATTTTCCATGCTCTGCTCCATCTAGAGCACAGTTAAGTGCACAAGCCTTTCAAAGTATACACTACTCGGTGTGATCCAGAATAGATGTGTTCAGCTACTTTTGATTTTGAGTGCTCTAATTATTTAAAAACCTAAAAATTGTATCCTCTGCCAGTAAGCATCATTAGTATGTATATTTTTATATATATATATATAAATTGTTAAGCTATATTTTAGTATTTCAAATATACATACATACATACATACATACATACATAAGGGGTTCAATGGGCCGGATTTCACACAACACTGGTGAAAATTCACACCTGTACTTATACAAAAAACTTTCAAACGTTTTCCTTGTAAGTACAGATGACTTACTGATCTCCTCTGTCTGAGTGGCAGGCAGCACCCACACTGGCCAACAACCTCCTACAGGTGGACAGCACTCTACGTCCTACAGCAGGGGGGAGTCTCATCAATTATTCACAAAAGCTTTTACAAATCTGCAGGGTCAAGACCTGACCCATTTCTGACCAACACGTGTGTAAAAACAAACAAACAAACAACAAATAAATTAAAACTTCACTGATGTTGTTTTAGGAAATTTCATTAAATCAAGCTTAAATATATCATATCTGTGATGAATATTTAATGTACATATGTGCACTACACATGTAAGTGACATTGTGCACCTATAAATATCAGTATGTACAAACATATTCAATTCATGTACTATGACAAATTGCAAGGTTGGAAAATGGCCATTCACTCACCTTGAAGTCCCCTTCCCAAAATGGACACATTGCATGTGTTGGGCAAAATGTCTGAGCCAGGAAAATGGCTGTTAAAACGAATCGTATCTTTTCCAAAGACAGCCTAAAATTTTCAATGCAATAAAAAAAGAAAAAAAGAATAATAAATACACACAAAAAAAGAAATCTCTATATAAATACAGGCTACATTTAATGTCCACTGAAACATTTGTACCAGTCAGCTATAAGGCAGAAACAGGACTTACAAGCAGCTTCTGCTCCAGATAACATCGGATGTCCAGGAAATGGGCTTCATACTCTGCTAGATTTGAACTTACCAATTCTGCAGCCTTTTCCCAAAAAAAAAAAATTATGTAAAACAAATTTGCATGTTACAAGCTTAGGCAACATAGCACTGAAAATAATTATTTTTTACAGTTATACATGTACAAACAGTCACCTTACTACCATAAATAAATAAATAAATCTAGTTACCCATGTTACATGTCCAAACAGTCAACTTATTCTAAAAATTAGGTAAGAAATAAATGACGCTTATGATACAAAGTGGGTTTTACCTTTCCCAGACCGGCTATCATTGCTGTATTCTCAGTTCTGAGAAATAAAGAGATAACAACAGTATTGATTTCAGAGTCAGTAACATACTTGTTTTAATTCTGTTCAATAATTAATCACCTATACATGAAACCCCATCACACAATAAACCATGTCATACCCTGGTCTGAAGTTGCACTCTTGTCCTCCTCCAAAAAACAGAGGGTAAACCGGGGTTGTGGTTCCAGGATCATTCACAAACAAAGCGCCAATTCTAGGGCCATAAAACTGAAACACAGCATTAGCAGGATTGGCATCTCTAATTTTCTTTGTTTGGAGAGATATGATATATCAACAGCATCTCTTGTTACTTACCTTGTGTCCTACAATGGTAATATAGTCTACTCCCAGCTCATGTGCATCCACTCGTATCTTTCCAATAGCCTGTGCTGCATCGGTGTGCAGGAGGATTTTGGGAGCCGATGCTGCCCTCTGTTTGTTTACTTCCCTCACCCTCTGACAAATATTCTTAATTGGCTGTTGAAAGGAGAATCCCATTGGTTACTTTAAGTGTTTATGCTAAATCATGGCCGAAAAAACTACTGTATTTTTATTGGCAAAGCAAAAGTTAAATAGCCATACTGTGTCTACAATGTAAGTTAATCTTTATTAACATCATGTTTATGAAATGTTGTATAAAAGCAATATCACGCTCGCAATTAAGCCTCGTCCCAATGGCCAAAACACAGTTGTGTGATTGTTTAACTATATGAAATAGTCCAATACATCACTGGGACTGTTGTCAAGGCAACATTCTCACCATAATGATGCCCGTCTCATTATTGGCCAGCATGATCGACACCAAGGAGGTGGTGGGACGAATCGCTGCAATGACATCCTCAACCTCCACCCGTGCCGTAACCTTGGAAACGGGCACAAATGTGACATCTACAACGAGAATTCAATCAGGTCAAATCAGAGCACAAAGATCTTTAGTCATATTCATATTTTAAAACAAATAGCAAAGGACACGTTTTGGATGCAATATTCCCAGTTACAGGAGTACAATGAAGTGATACCCACTTTCTCAAGCTAAACCTTTGGAGAAAAATGCCTCCATTTAAAGTTTTAGACATAAAACCCAGGTCTGCTAACCTGCTTTGCCCTCTTTTAACAAGTGTTTAGCTGTGAGTTTGATGGAGTCATGCTCTACATTGGAGATGATAATATGGGGCAGGGAGCCGCTTCCATTTAGCTGCTTGCTGTTTGTGCCTCCCTCTGCAGAATTCTTGCTCTTTCTGAAGTGCTCCACAGCTGTGTGAAACACCAGATTATTGGCCTGAAAGTCCAGGAGAAAAAGAGAGCTAAATAAAGATAAAGTGAAAGTAAAGGTCCTTTCACACGACTTTCACCAGGGATTCAACGCACCTCTCAACACAAGCGGCATGCACCATTAGGACAGACACATAAAGGGTTACAGATAGTGTTACAATGTTAAAAGCTGTTCACACCAGCATGAATGTTTGGCATGATTTAGTCAGATTTTCTCATGAGATTTGTCTGAAAATCTCAGATGAAAAAGAAAGTACCCCGGTTACTCCAGGACACAAAGCGGCATGTATCATTATGTTTCTGATACTCGCTTGTCACAGAAAAGAATTGAAGTCAAACAATTATACAGTACTGTGCAGATGCCTTCAGCTATTAGTATTTCACCAACAAAAAATGGTTTTAAGTCAGTTACTTCTATCTTTTGCTTTAGTGTGTCAGTAGGAAATGTCAGTTTACATTTCCAGACATTCCTTTTACCATTAAAAGTAATAATCCGATATCTGATCTCAGTCTGTCTGCAATGACATGAAGAAACAGAAAAAACTGAGACAGACTAAATCCAGAAGAACTGTGGCAAAGGAAGAAACCTTCCTGCAAAGCTACCTGAAGAACTATGCACAAGTGTACACAGGACAAAAGCTGTTTTAAAAGCAAAAGTATGGTTACACCAAATATTGATTTGATTTAGTTAATAGAAGTTAATTGATAATAAAATCTATTACATTATTTTTGAAAGCATCTTTGCAGCATTTTTACACAAGTGCCTAAAACTTTTCACAGTGCGGTAGCTTTGCCAGTAGGTTTTTTTCGTCGCTGAGTGTCTTGGAAAACGTTGCCACAGTTCTTCTGGATTTAGTCTGTCCCAGTTTTTTCATGTCATTGCAGACGAATTGGATGATGGTAAGAAATTACTGACTTAAAACTTTTTTTGTTGTTACTGTTGGCTAAAATACTAATGGCATAAGACTTCTGCACAGTACTGTACATGTTTTCGTGTAAACGTGTACAGCAGTTCAGATTTTTGTATTTGCTATAGTGTTTATCAGGCAACACCAAATACAACTGTCCAATGACAAGATAGCAGGTTCTAGATTCAATGTCTGCTATTCACCAAGCTGTGGTTTTATGTAACAGCAGTGATTAAGCAATTCGAACAAAAGTTTCACACTGAAAATTCATCTTGGTGTGAACAGGCCTTCAGTGTAATAAATTAATACATTTCATGTATTAAGTACACATTTGTATCCAAAGCAACAACTACAGATGAGGAATAACAAAAGCCATTTATCATAAGAAAACAATATTTAAGGTTTCAGTGTAGTTCACACAGTGAAGCAGGCAAAATAGTTGTCCAGTATCAACAGTGTAATAATGCATGAGACACCACTCATACAGAAGTTACTTTCAAACCAAGCAGGCTTCTGTTGGTCAACACCACAAATTTGAATGGCCAACTTGAACACAAGCTGAATTCGAATGTGTTTATTATTATAATTGACATGTCTTCAATGTTATGTCATACAAATTGTCAAAATTTTTCCACCAGCAGCACCTACGTAACAACATGTCATGCAAAATGTCTGCTTGTTTGCGATTCATAGTCAATGGTAAACGTAAAAGTTGCATTTTTTTTTTACTTTGAGCATGTTACAAATCTAGATGGGGAGGGTGGAAATATGAATTAGCCATACGCAATAGCCTTTAGGGCCTTCACTATCCTGCTATAAAAAAAAAATTAAGAAAAAAAAAATGTAAAAGAAAAAAAAGATAA